CGGCAGCCGCTCCCAGCGCGCTCACCTCGTCCTCACCCGCGCCCGCCTGCTCCGGCCCCGCTGCCGCCGCGGACTGCCGGAGCCCCGGCGCTGCCGCGCTTTATATACAGCGAGGGCGGGCCCAGGCCGGCCCCGCCCGGGGCTGTGTCGGGGCATGTCCCCGCTGCCGCCGCCGCCCGGACAACCAGCTCGCCGGTTCCCGGGCACACGTGTCGGGGCTGGACGGGGCCTGGCACATCGCCGCGCCGGGCTCACACGTGGAGGGAAGGGAGCCAGCACCTGCGGCTGGGCCCGCGCGGAGAAACCCGCCCACAGCGGAGCCGCCCCGCCGGGGAGCGAGGGGCTTGCTCGTTAATGCGCCCTAATGACTGTACGTTTAGTTCGGTGCGTGTTTAATGACGTAGTAACTACACGCCCATTAGTGCCGGCACACTTTTTGTTTTGTTTTTCCTGTGATGCTAACTACTGACGCCACGCAGGAGGCCTTTTTTCACCGCCAGGCTACTAGTGCGCAGCGATATTAGCCAGGATCCTGGTTTTCTCCGAGTTACAAAAAAACCCCAAAACCCCCAATTTTCTGTTTAAAAACGTTAAACCCAAAAGCCACATGTTTTCCGCGATAACACGAAACGCCATTAATATAGGGATCTATGCATAGTGGTGTTTCGCTGGAATCGTGAAAAAAGGGGGATTTGGGGGTTACTTTTTTTTTAAACTGGAAATTGGGGAGGGGGAGGTTAAATGGGAGAATCCCTGGTTATTAGGCGAATGCGCGGTAAGCGTCTCGCGTACGCGCGCCCAACCCAAGGGGCCGGTCGCAGGGAGAAGCCCACCAGCACCCACCCTGGTGACGCCTGCCTTGCCGGGGTCGTCTGATCCCTGTGGTCTTTCCGGGGGCTGGACCCGGTGATCTGTAAGGTCCCTTCCAGGGCCGAACCTCCGTGAAACCACAAGGGACCCCCCAGAAACACTTGGCATGACCGGCCTCGAAGGCACACGGCTGTTGCCAAGAACTCTTTCGCTACCTACGTGCTGTTTAGAAAAGGCACCCAAATAAAATCAAGAGCACGGGCTGATCGGACCTGGTGACGTTTTCCGTCGGCACGGGGCCGGTGGAAGCCACGCCTCCTTTATCATTGCACAGCGCACCTGGGGAGCTCTTTGCCAAGAGATGCTGCGGCAGACCAGAGCAGAGCAGTCGACAAGGCAGTTCGTCGTCTCTGCAGAGGATGGGAAGTCCCACAGCAGGAAGGAAAAGCTGAGAAATGATGGGTCCTCTCCAGAGGTATGAGCCAACCAGAGTAGCTAGGAAGGGGGTTTCCCCCTGAGTACGTGACTGCACTGTTGAGGACTGGAGGGTTTTTTTTTCGGCTCATGACTCAAGAATCGAATGCCGGCCTGTGCCACAGACGGGATGGGCTGCTGGCTGGGGGATCCCACTGCTCTGAGCCAGCCGGACGGGTCTCTTGCTCCTGCGTGACACCAGCTGGGAGCTACTGCTTTCAGTAGAAGGCGGAAATCTGCCCAACCCCGTGCTGTGTGGGCGCCCCTGCTTGTGTTTAATAACCTCGCAAATCCTATTCCGCGACCTGTTCCTTCTCCGATTCTGCGGAGTTCACCCCTGGCACAGGGCCCTGTGGAAAACAGCTCCCTTGTTATGTCTGGCCCTCGCACGGCCCACCAGAGCGGGGGAATTGTGCTGGGATGAGCGTGCGGCAGAGGGCACGCATTCTGCGGTGTGCTAATTCAATGCTGCATGGTGCCATTGAACGCTTCGGGATGAAGACAGTCAGCAGCACTCGGGCGCGCGTGAATGCATTGCAAGGGGGGACTCTTGGAGCTCAGTGTTGCAGCTGTCAGATAACAGGGTCAGATTTCCCAGCGAACTCAGCACTCACAACTGAGGCCGCATCTTCAGCGGTATTCAGACAGCCTTGCCCCTAGAAAGGATGCAGTTGGCTGCTGAGCAGCTTTGCTTCCTAATGGGCCCGGCTCAACGTGGGGCTGTGCTGCTCTCTAGCTGCTGCTCTCCCTGCCAGCAACTGTGGAAAGGGTTCAAACCTAAAGTGTTTCTGTTTGTCCAGCATATTGATGCCCTTTTACTTCAGTAGCTCCCAAGATGTAGTCTGCACTCCCACTGGCAGGCACGGTCAGCTTCTGTGATACGTTTGATGATGAGGGTGCTTGATGGTTTGAGGCAAAGGTTGAGGGTTGATATTGGTCTCTTGATCCAGAAAGTTTGGGACCCGCTTCTCTAGTGCCAGTGTATTGTCACCTCCACCCTGGCTTTCATTCAGGATGTCTTCCCTAAAATTTAGAGATTGATACAGTTTAACACTAGAAGGGACTGTGATACTTTAGTCTGAACTCCGGTATAACATAAGACATAGACTTTCACCCAGGGATTCTTGCAATAAGCCTTTTTTTAGGGGGCGGGGGAGGGTCAGTCCTAGAGTTTAAGGCCAGCATCTGATTATTTAGTCTGACCCCCTGTCTAACCTAAGCCATTTCACCCTGCTGGCTCTGTATTGAATCCAGTACTTCCAGAAAGACATGCAGTCTTGATTTGAGGACACGAATGAAGTAATGAAAAATTTCCCGTTTCTTTTTATAACAAAAAATACCCATGCTGTGAAACCACTGGCAGACCCCCCACTAAATTTGAACTTAGGGCCTTGGCTGACAGAAGCAAAGGCTTTTAACTCTAAGCTACTGAACTCATGGGAACTTGTTACCTGCTTCTCTGCTGGTATTTGTGGCCATGTTTTCCTGAGTTTATACATAGACAGGCCATTCAGAGGGGCAGAGGTGCCCTATTTTTGCTGTTTGGATGCAATCACAGCTCTAATTTGGCTTTCTCTTGAAATGTTATCATAATCCTCTTACTAACTGATGTTCTTACAATCCAACCCCCCTTTCATCAATGTGATTATATGTGAAGCTCAGCTTTCTTTTAAAAGAGAGTTTCCCATTATCAAAATTGGTGGGGTGAGAAGCTTGGAAACACAATCCAGAAACAATTAAAAATAACCCCCGCTTTTAGTACTAAGATTTTGAAGTTTGTTTAATGAATGTGATTCTGAGGAGTTGCTAATACCTGAGTTTTGACTTCTCACTGCTGCCAATGTTGTACATGCCCGTAGTGCTGGATAAAAAAAGCAGTCTCCACTCTTGAAAGCTTTTCACTTACACTCTGTTTATTAGCTCAGAACTCAGTTTCAGCACATATATTTGGCCTCCAGCTGATAACGTGATTGGAGTCACTCCAGATTTGTATGCAAATAAATATGCCTGACACTTAATTATACCAAGTAGTGTCTGTTGCACCAGTATGTCTGAGTCACCTATGCCTCAGCGGTGAGGCTGCGCTCAACTCATACTAGCCGAAGAGACAGTTGTCTCCAGGACAAGTCCAAACGTATTTCCTCTAAATCTCAGTTTTGTTCCTTTCCAAGGATCTGGCTATTTGTCATTTGTGACAGGCTCAGAAGCATTCATCATGAGCGGATGGGAATTCCAGTAACACTGAACGGTCAACTAGTGTGCGTGTGACGCCGGCGGGAGGGATAGAGAGGAAAGACTAGTTCAGAGCTGTAAAGTTAAAGCGCGGGCTTCAAACACCTTGAGATTCAGGCGGATTTGAGGCTCTTTGTTCAACCTGCCTATGAGAGGAAACCCGGAACGGGCATGCAAATCTCTCACTGCTTTACATCTGGGCAAAGTAAGCATCCCAAATTGCAGTTGGAAGGCCAGACTCTTGGCTGATGCAGATCAGGGTGGCTCAGTTTAAGGCAGTGCTCCTAAAGCAGAATGATCTGCCCCTTAGCTGCTGATGAATGATGACACCTGGGGAAAGCAGACACAATCACACCCTATAGATAGGCTCCCACCTGTGCTGCAGCAACAGCTATTTCTCCGATGCACACATCCTATGTCTGAATATTGCAGGGCTGATTTTTTTTTTAAACCTTCAATTCATCATGAATATGCTGGCACCATCTGGCGAGCACTGAGTGTAAAAATCAAACCATCCTCCAATCCCCTTGCAAGGAAACCTCCATCAGTGGGGTTTCACATGTGAGCGAGGACAGCAGTGTGGGGCGCTCATGTGGCAGCAGAGACTAGGAAAGGAGGAAAAGGACACAGCTTTTAGCAAGCTTTCCTTGCCAGAGTTTGCTAAGAGGGTGTGAGAGCCTGTCAGGTCAGGACAGTGTTTGATGTGCACTTTGCACAGGTAGAAAGGGCTGTGCAAGGGACAAACCATGATTATTCAGCAAGATTATGAGCCTTAGAAACTCTGTGCAACAAGCTTAAGATTGCCAAAGATTTTTTTTTTATCTCTACTAATGAGCTCATGAAAAAAAAAGTAGCAAACGTGAACGCTCTTAATGAAACTCTCATGCTCCAGCAAAAGTCTAAATGAATCCAGTGTTCAGCTGAATGGCGCTTATATCTGAGCACAGGCTGTTTTCCCATCAACTCTTTGAAGTGCCCTATTAAGTGATTTTATACTAATAGGATTTTCCCAGGAAAGAAAGACAAGAATGACAAAACGCTGAATGCTTGATTAACTCTGCCCCTAAAAGAACTTGGATCGTGTTAATTGACTCTTTCCCTGCCATATTCAGGCATTGTTTGCTCCATTTATGAAGGCATGGTTGATGAGACTCTGGGCCCAGCAGAGTGTAAAGAGAATCCTGCCAAGCGCAAATGGTTGGATGAAGCATTCTTTAAAGCGCAGCTTTTGGGTTACTGGAAATCTTACTGGAGCCCAGAGCATGAATTGTTTGTTTCATTCACTCCCCTTCGCTCGTTTTCATCCGTGGTTGTTGTTGGTGGGCTAGTTTATAGTCATTAACATAATTGCTTCGGGAACTTTCCATGAGCAGCTTGTGGGGCTTTTTTGGAGCTGGCAGAAAAGAGCCTCATTATTGCAGCATGGTGAAATGAGGCAGGTGGAAGTGAGAGCCAATATTTTATTTCCTGGTCCCTGTTGCTCGCTGTAGTCAGAGAGGAACTTGTGACTATGCAAAAGGCACTGCATCTGCCAAGGGTGTGGCTCAGAGCAGTCACAGGTTTGTTGATCCTTTGGCCTCCAGATCATTACCTGTGCTTGACAGATCCAGGCAGGGCAGGTGCTCTCCACCCTGGGCTCTCACTGGGATCAAGAGGCAGGCACTCAGGAAACTAGGTCTTAAAGCACTGGTGTGAAGCTGGTGCCTCATCCCAGGGTTTGCTCATTGTTTTAAACGGACTGACTCCTAATGAACTCAAGTGTAAGTGAAGAAGGGTCTGATTCCCAGTCATAGGAAGAGTTCTACTGTTTGCAAGTCAAAACAGTGCATCCACTGAAAGACAACAAACATTTCCTAGAGGGGCTAGATTTCCAGCTATTTAGTTCATTAGTTAGTACTTAGCAGGGTTTTCCGAAGTGCCTGAGCTGGTTTGACATCTCTAAGTGAAAGTCAATGGAGCTGGCTGCCAAACCTGCTTAGGCCCTTTTGTAAATCCAGTCTCTAATCACCCACACCACATTTGAACTGACAACCTAGTGACAAGGGTACACTTCCTCTTTTGGCTTCAGAGAGCAGAAATCCAGTCTCATCATCCATCACACATTAAAGAAGTAAACCCCACCTGCTGTACCTTGCCTACATAAGGACATACATAGGCTCGATACTTTTGGGGCCACTCTGCCCCCATTACTACCCACATAGGATCAGAATAGTAGGGCTGGAATGGACCTTAAGAGGTCATCTAGTCAAGGCAGGATCATCCCTGACTAATCAACCCAGTCAAGTGTCTGTACAACCTACTCTTAAAAATATCCAGGGATAGAGTCCACAACTTCCCTGGGTAGCCTATTACAATGCTTAACCACCCTCTGAGTGAGAGAGTTCTTCCCAATATCCAACTTAAATCTCCATGCTGCAATTTAAGTCTTGGTCCTTGACCTCCTGCAGCCTCAGAGAATAGTCCAGTACTACTTAAGTAGTACCTTACTTGAACGATCCCTTTGCTTTTACAAATGGTCCCTTTGCTTTCACTAGGGAGACTGTGAATTGGAGTGCATGCCGAGAAAGGGCACTGAGGACAGGGAGAGGCAGCCAGCCATGGTTTATCCAGATTTTGCCAAGGCAGAACTAAGTGTACCCAATTATTTCCCCCATGGAGCAGTTTAGTGGAGTTGAATTGGTGTAAGGGAACTTGCAATTTACTTAACTTACTGAAGAAGTAGGATGAGTCAGTATCATCACGGAGCAAGAAGGAACTTATGCCTTTTGCAGCTGCTTCTGGGTTGCTGCAGTTTCTACCTGGCCCGCTCCTAACTCTGTAGTCTAGCCTAATGGTGCTACTTGAGATCTACAGTACAGAGAGCAAGAGGATCCAGCCCTTCATATTTTATACAGGCACAGGATATCCCTTGGTGAGCTGCTGACTCACACCTGATCATCATTTGTAATGTAAAATTAACCACTGATGAAATGATGCATTTGGGCCCTGCCTGGTTAAACAAAGGTATGAGTAGGTGGAATACAAGTCACTCCACTACTGTTTACAAAACAAGCTCGATGCCTACATGCAAACCTGGCCACAAAACTAAGATGTGTCCAATGCTTGGAGAAGTACAGAGCCCAGCACTGGGTTTAAACTTTGTCTTCTATTGCCTTTACCCATTGTAAAGGAGCCTGTTCTTACAAAGCAGCTGTGCACCTCTTGTACGTCACCGTAGGGGAGAAGGATCCTTCTCATTGCATGGAGGCAGCAGAATGCAAGACAATTTCATAGGCTGAACAAGATACAGTTAACCTGAGTGCAAGGGCTGTCTGACTCACATAAGCTCTGTATCAGGTTTGTGAAGAGGAATAATACACAGTTGAGCCTATGGCCCCCCCAAAGTGCCTCACAGAATCAGCACTCCAGGTCATGCTAGAGGAGGATAGCAGTGGGCTGGGAAGGGCCGCAGATCTTGGTACTCATTGGCATTGGTATAACTGGCAGAGAGGGGATGCCCATGGCTTGAAATGGCATCTGCTGGAGTGGGGTGAACAGTGGTTACCACCTAGGCCCATGACTGGGAGAGTAATTTCTTCCTCCCTTTTGCATGCCACCCAAAAACAGCTGGAAGAGCTGGGCTTTAAGAGGGTGGAGTGGCTTTCACCTGTAATGAACTAATGACTTCCTTTATACTAGTACATCTGAGCACAAATGTAAAACTGTGCCAGAGCCTCAGCTGGTACAAACTGACATGGGCTCATTTCCTTCAAAGTTGCTATGCCAGTTTCCAGCAGCTGGCCAGGAGTCAGCGCAAACATTTTTTTTTCTTTTGGTTTCATTCTTCCACATCTGTTCCCAAACTCTTTCCTATAATTATGTATTTGGCACTTTAGGCAGGGTGTTTTCAAAGCACAGTATAGATGCTGATCAGTTCATTCAATGATTTTTTTACCAGACCTTTACCAGGCAGAAAAGTCACTTCCTCTGTTTAATACATCTAGAAAGTGCAGCCTAGAGGGTCAGGCTAAGATTTGAAAGCATCTACTTTCTGGGTGAGGCACTCACAATGACAGCCGAGAGGAGAACGCAGGAGTTCTGGTGAGCCAGTGCCAGATGTATGCCATTAATTCACATCTCTCCCTGTGATGTAAGGCACCCATCTGCTTGTTTATAACATTTTTCCTTTATCAGTATACATACAGGAAACTGAATACGAGAATAGGAATCCTAGTTTTACATAAAGAGATAAATTAGGCCATCAGTTACAGTTGTGCAGCCCACAGTCTATCACAAGCATGCTAACTCTCATCTCATCCTGCAACGCAAAATCCATGGGAATTCTGCCATTGATTTCAAAGGCAGCAGGCTCTGGCAGTGCATACATAAGATCGTATTTTTATGAACTCCTGGTGCTTGCAGAAGTTGTGAATAAACATTAGATCCAAATATTACAAGCCCTGGTAGCCTTGGAAGTATTTAGGTGGTATAAATGTTATCAGGCTTTGAATGCCACTGTTTTATTAAGGGAACTGCAGACTGTTTAAAGAGCAGAGTGCATGTGAAAACAATGTTACCAGCTGTAATGTTTTAATTACAGCTGGTTACAGTAATCTTCCACCCAGTTGGAAAGTGACACCCATGGTGACATGCCATCCCGCCCTGCTACTGCTGCCACACCCTGATACCAGGGCGGCTGCTGACCTATCTCCAAGTGCCGTAGGCATTTCATGTGCAATAAACATCTCTTCTCTGAATAGGAGAACTAAATGTAATATTTATAAAAGAAAAACACTCTTTCCTGTTGATTATGCACCTAGCTGATCATTTTGGCAGTCAACACAAGGTCTTGCAATCTCTCCAGGCCACATTCTGCTTCTCATTTACAGTCTTCACTTGGGTTGCATGGGTCTGAATAAAAATTGAATTTCTGGGAGCTAATTTTAATCAGATTTTCTTCTGTGTACTACTAGGAATCACTCTGCTGACTGCATCGCCTGCATAGGCAACCTGGAAGGTCAAAAACACACATGATGGGACAAACGGGACACGAATATATGCGAGTGCTCTGAAGTGCAGACTATGGAGCACCTGCTGGCTTGCTGACTGCTCGGTGAGACACCTTGGTGTACGAAGGAGGACCTCGCTGCAGCAATAGAAAGCACCATCACTTATGCGTGATACTGGAAAAATATCTAGTTTATGACAAGGATGCAAGAAGATGAACTCTTCTGACTTCTGTGCTCGTGTAAATTTGACACTTAACTACTGGATTATGTCCAGGCAGGAGTCAGAATAAGATCGCCTCATGCAAAGAATGACGGCAGCCAAAATTGCTCTAAGACCGGATCCAGAGCTAACACCAATGGAAATAGTGCCATTGACTTCTAAGTGATTTAAGGGCTGAGGACCCTGTGAGGACACCTGCCTTGTCAGCACCTATTTAATAAAATAGCTGTACAAAGCACAAAGGTACATTTTCCCCCAAAGTTTTCTTAATTCTTTATTTGCCTGGAACTGACATGGATTCAGACTGGTTCTAAAGCAGGCATATTTGTTTCAACAGCAGTAATCAAATAAACCTAATACCTAGTAATCAATGTCCCTATATGGTAATAGGGGCACACACTGCTGCTTAACTGGCCTTTCAGATGAGGCACACGGACTGCTTGCATTCAGTAAAGCTGTCAAGGCACTTTTTGCCCTGGTCAAATTCCAAGTTAAGTAAATGCAGTACCTGCAGTTTTGATAGGAAAATCTTTTTTTTTTTTGTCCCCCATTTCTTCTTTTTTTCATAGATTCATAGATTAAGGGTCGGAAGGGACCTAGTAGATCTTCTAGCCCGACCCCCCACCAGGGCGAGAGAACAACAAAAAACCCCAAAAAGAGAAACAGGACAGTATCTCTGTGCTAGATTCAGCAGTGATGTTTCACCTGAGCTAGCTGCATTTTAATTATAGGTTAAGTCTTCCCTGAGTATAATTGTACCACGGACCTTTGAAATCCTTTATAGCAAATCCAACACAGCACTCAGAATAACAGCTGGTGAGCCATCTACTGATAATGTATCAGTGTGAGGCATGAATGGACATGTCTTAATTTGAGGTTTTCTAGTCTGAATCTTTGAGAAGCCTGGATTATGATAGCAGTATTTTTTTTACCTACCCTGTGCTGCTGTTAATACTAAACCTCAGTTAGTGGAATCAGTTTTGTCTCAAAAACATACCTGTTTTTTATGTTCTTAAATTGCCTGATCTCCCATAGCTTTAGTGCTGGAGCTGGACTACTGTGAAAGCTGTCTGAATGTGTATTTTCCACAAACGACTGACAGTTCAACTCAGGCATTTTATTTATTTCCAATAAAGCTTCCTAGGGATGTTACCTTATAAACTAAGGAGCATTTCACCAAGTCTGGATTTGGACAAGAAACCTCATATGGGCAACAGTGACTCATTAGGTCACAGTACACTGCAATTGCATCATTACAAGGAGAATCGTGTGTTTGAACATGGGTCTGGAAAAAGGAGTTAAATCAAATTACCGTGAACAGGAAGGGAGCGTTCAAACATTTTAGCAGCTTTCATTACAGGTTTTGATGTCATGTAGTGTTCAGGCATTAAATCTCATGGTGATGGGACAGCAGAGAAGGAAAAGGGGATGGTAAGAAATGCGTTTAAAGTGCCATTGAATACCATCAATGCTTCCTACTGCTATTTTTATCAGGAGAGGAAACTGAACACTGGGGGATAGATTTTAAAATAAACATGAGAAGTGACAGCACTGTCCAAGAGTGGTACAGACAATAAAATGTGTCCCGAGCATGGCAGGAGGCAAGCTAAATTTCCCCCAGCTGGCCTTGATTACTTGAGTGATCCTGGCTGTCCATAATCTAACTACACCCAGCTGGTCCAGCTGCACCCCCACCAGGGGTATGGTTGCTTGCTTGTAAGCAACAGCTTTTTCAGAGTCCAACAGGCAATTTAAGAGGACAGAGGCCTTTCTGGCCAGCCGTGGGCTCATGACTAGTTCCTTGGGTCTTACTACTTGGTTTTTCGCTTCCTGTGTCCTGCTTGTTGGCTGTCTGACTATAACATTGTTCCTGCCTGCGGATTCTTTGTTCCAGATTCTAGCTTGAACCCTTATTTCAGACTGCTTTGCTGGCTCCTTCACGTCATCTTCTAGCATTCCCCCCACGCTAACTCTGCCATTTAACACGGTGTCTGTGGAACCAAGTCCCACAGGGACAAAGGAGCATCACAACTTTTTCCACCTTTTGCTGAAGTGCTAGATACACTTCTTTGAACTTGCTTCTCTAACATGGACACAAAATGGTGCACTTAAAAAAAAAAAACACAAAAAAACAACCTACCTTAACAAAACACTCCATTACACACACAATTCTCACTCTGGGGAGAGGATGTGAGAAAGCACAAACCACAAGGGCCAGATGTTAGTCGTCACTGAATATGCTCCTTCCTGAATAGCGCTCAGATAGTTACTGAAATGCATGGTACAAGAATGTGAACAATTTCAGAACTCTAACCTACCTAATAAATTCAGAACAAGGTCACACGGGCTATAGGTTGACCTAAGAAAAATTTGAACAGGAAATATAACAGAGCTTTTTAGATTGAACTCCATGCAGTTCACAATTGAAAAAGCATCCCATCAGATGGGATATTCGCCATAACTTGCAAAATCAGAAGCTTGCAATGCATTTCCCCTTTCTAGTATTGCTGGAATTTCCATAGCGGATCTACATATTCACAGAATTATGTTAGATTTTTTTTGCTACTGTGCTTGGCAATCAATAGGTTTGGCTGCCAAATCCAAGCCAGGGTCTTACCCTGGTTATATGTAACCAGGTCTAAATGCAAGCTTTGCTTTAGATCGTATGTCAGCTGCAGCTGTAAAATGGGAATTTTACTCCTTTTCTCACAGCTCTGCATCAATGCTTGCCAGTTGATTCCAAAGCTGGAGTTTGTAGCCCTACATCTACGCTTGGCTACCAGATCATTATCCAACTTTTTCATTCCTGGATCATTGATCTAGCATCCACAAAACCACTGTTGGCATATCACCAGGCTTTTTAGAACAATCTGAGACCTTGACAGCGATCCTTGAATGAACACTAATTTTACAAGCGGCTGCCCTCAGTGGATTGGGCCTTAAGAACATTCCCCATCAGAAGTTTGAGACATTTCAGCATAACATTTGAAAATCAATGTTTGACATATGAAGTGCAAGCTTAGTTAAACTGGCTTGAGGAGTGTTGTTTGGGGGGGGGGGGGGGGGG